TAATAATAATAATAATAATAAAGCCGCAAACTCAAATGAAATCACATAGAACATCTGTAATTTATTGGATACGTTCCTATATGCGATAGAAATCGTCTGTTGATACAATGGTGAAATCCATAAATACCATTCCGTTGAGCGAGCTTTAGTTTTCCTCATTGGAAGGTTTTCCTGATTTTCCCAATGAACAATTCAAAAGCATTGGAATATCGAATAAGAACGTATGGATCCCACACAGCACGTATTTCAAATGGATTTTAAGTGGATCCCACATACATATACATTTAATTAATTGCAAGAATAAATCAATTTTTGACATTAATATCAAAGTTTACGGAAGAAGAAAACATACCGTTTTCTTCCAAAATACCGTATCCGCATCACTTTGTGCGGCGGCCCCAGTCCTCCGTTGGGACATGCTTTTCGGGAAGAAACTGAAATAGCAATTAGGACTGTCAGATGAAGGTTGAATCAGAAGGTGGTTACTCTGTGCAAAAAACGAACTGATCGGATAATCGATATTATCTTAATGCTGCTATCAAGAGGAAATATCTCGTGCGGTTCACAGTTTAGATGCTGGCTCAGATTCAGGATCAGTAATGGACATACGTACCGTACCACCTAACTAGTAAGGTTCGACAATGAGCCTTGAATAAGCTTATTGTTAGATGAAAGCCATAACTCAATTCTCAGTCTGAATAATAGTTTATACCTCGTAGATTAAATAACTTGTTTATGAGATTGTGTTTGTTCGTTCACATGATACAGAGTAACTTGACTACACCCGAAAATGCAAAGGGACGCTCGGGAAGACAAACGTCTATAAGTAAAGGGGAGAGGTTCCTCGAAAGAGAAAAGGGGTTCCACGCAAGGGAAGCAGGCTCTCCCTGAAGATGTATCCCAGAAGGAATCAGGTTATCCCGATGAATGGCTGGAAACCTCAAAAAGGTGCTCCACATCATAAGCAGCACAGCACCTATCCTTTGTCGCGAATTGTCTTATTCGAATCATTCTCAAACACTTTTTCGACGACCCCAAAAAACTTGTTAATGTTCATGGGGCTCGATTGCGCCCCTACCTCATCGTCGGCGCCTCCCTCC